AGTTAGGAGGATCAATGAACGCTGGCGGGCATGTTGATGAGGCTGACGGTTCCTGACGGTCCTTACTTGGGACTGACTGTCCCTGACGGTCCTTCCTTGGGACTGACGGTCCCTGGTGGTCTTCCCTTGGGACTACCCCCCTCTTCCCCTCTTCTGGGCCCAAGGACTCTTCATGGCGGGACTCGCTGACAGTGGCAAGTTCCAGCCGAGGCTCCGAACCCTTTCCAGCTACACTATGTACACCCCAACGTTCGCGATCATCCATTACGTTTTCCTCATGGCCTCCATAGCCAAGTGGAAGAGAGCCATGATGACCTCCTCCTCCTCCATAGCCACGTGAAGAAGGCCCATCACGACCTCCTCCTCCTCCATTGTCACGCGGAAGAAAGCCTTGATGACCTCCTCCTCCTCCTCCTCCTCCTCCATAGCCGCTAAGTGAAAGGGAGCCATGATGACCTCCTCCTCCTCCTCCATAGCTGCCAAATGGAGCAGATCCCTTCGTCTCCTTCATGTCGCTCGTCGTCCACGTCTGCGTCCTACTATCAGTAGCCAACAAGGGGGAAGCTGTGTTTTTTTCTAACACTCCCCCCCCACCTCGATCCTCAATCTCATCGGACTTACCCTGAAGCTTGTCCGCATCACTTTTCCCGCCCTTTTCCACGTCAACTTTCCCTCCTCCTTTTTCCACATCAACTTTCCCGCCTTCTTTTTCCACATCAACTTTCCCGCCTTTTTCCACATCAACTTTATCAACTTTCCCGCCCTTCAACAGGTTCCTATCCGCCATTACCCCCCCGTCTGAAGGGTATAGAGAGTCAGCACCCTTAAGAAGCTTAGCATCCTCACCAGTCTTTCCATACTCAGGAGGAGGAGGAGGAGGAGGAGGAGGAGGAGGCTTAGCATCCTTACTGGTAGTAGGCTTGGCAGGCTCGGTAGGGCGGGTATTAGCATAGTCAGTAGTTCGCTTAGCATCCTCCCCATGCTTAGCATACTTAGTGGGCGGCTTAGCATCCTTAGCAGGGTCAGTAGTACCCTTAGCATCCTCACCGCCCTTAGCATACTTAGCAGGCGGCTTAGCATCCTTAGCAGTAGTAGTAGTAGTAGTAGTAGTAGTAGTAGTAGTAGTAGTAGTAGTAGTAGTAGTAGTAGTAGTACAGTTATGGGAACTACTGCTGGTAGCGTCCGCAGGGGCAGAGCCGATGGGATAGGCCGGGTGGGAGTCCTTAACGGCCTGTGCAAGCTTAGAGGCATAGCTAGACCGACCTGATGATGAGAAAGAAACATAGTGAGCAGGACGGGCAGGGCCGTTCCGAGAAAGCCCGCCAGTCGGGATCCCTACCACAAGCAGAGAGCTCTCAGCTTGTTGTGGTCTGGTCTCTTCCATACCATCGGCGAGGCTGACGTCTGGATCCGGACCCTCCCTCCGTCGTCGAGCAGCTGCAACTACGCTGTCCTCTACCGTTTTCGACTTATTGTCTCCTCTTCCTTCATCCTGATCGCCATTATCGACACGCTCTTCCTCGTGATCGGTAGCTCGATCGCCCTTGTGTGCTCTTCCAGCAAACCTCCCTATCACATCGCCCCACCTCATCACCAAGTTGATCCCCTTTTTCTCTCCTCCTCCTCCTCCTCCCCCTCCCCCTCCTCCTCCTCCTCCTCCTCTTTCTCCTCCTCCTCTTTCTCCTCCTCCTCCGCCGCCGCCGCCGCCGCTTTCTCCCCCTCCTCTTTCTCCTCCTCCTCTTCGTCCTTCTCCTCCTTCTCCTCCTCCTTCTCCTCGTTCTCCTCCCTCTCCTCTTCTGGAAGAGAATCCCTTTCGCGTCCGTGTCATCTCACCAAGATGGGTTCTTTGCTCTGTAAACAAGTCCTTTGAGTTCGCACGCCCATCCGCGTGGACATCGTCGTCGCGACGATCGCTTGCGAGCGGTTGCCGCGGAGTGTCGAGAGGACGCATCAAAGCGCCTCCTTTTTCGTTGATTCCCGCCCATTCTCCTCCTCCTCCTCCTCCTCCGTTTGGGGCGGAAAGACGGGTACTGCTCACGTTTGATCCTCGATACCATCCCCATCTTCGTCCCAAAGGAGCCCGATTCCCACTCTTAACCCAGCTGCGCTTCCGTGAGAGAGGGCTAGACAGCACGCTCCACCCTTCACCGTCCTTCCGTTTGCTGCTGCTTGAACCGCTACCGTAACCGTTAGCGACCGTTACTACATCGTTAACGGCCCCAGAGCGACCCTTATCCCAGGAAATGATCGTCTGTGCTATCACTTGGGCTGCAGCATTGCGACTGATCTGGCCCGATTCCCCCGAATTCGTTCGGGTGGGATCAACCTTTCGCCCCTCCCCTCCTCTATCAGACAACCCCTGTACCAGGCCATCCACCACCTCCTCATCCTCTCCTTCCTCTTCCTCCTCCTCCTCCTCCTCCTCCTCCTCTGCTCCATTGCCGACCCACTCCTCTCCGTCCTCGTCGTCTTCTTCGCCATAACCGCTCTCCTCTTGGTTCCCTTCTTGTCCCAACTCGTCGCCGCGTCGCTCTGCATCCACCAGGCCATACTGCAGTGTAGAAACGCCATCGCCGTCTTCTTCTTCTTCTTCTTCTTCTTCTTCTTCTTCTTGTTTTTGAGCTGCCGTCAGCTGAGGTACCTTGTTCGATCGCTGACGCTGCTGCTTGATTAGCTCAAGCTGCAGACCTCCGAACTTGTCAGTTGGCATCGATTGTCCGATTGCGACAGAATAGATAGACTTCTGCCCTGGGTCATGAAGCTTGTCCGCGTTGACGTCCGGGTCTCGATCTGTTGATCTCGCTCTCGATAAGCCCATGAGCTCGATGTCTGGTCGGCTTTCTAGACGCTTTCGCTCCCGCTCCCGCTCCCGCTCCCTTTGTCGTCGACGCAGGTGCCGCTCTACGTGTTGGTCTAGAAGATCGCGCACGCTCCCGACAGAAACTCCACCTGTTTCGTAAACGACCACCGAGTCTGTGACGTCCCCATCGCTGTAAGAGAGCTCTGGTGTGTGCGTACGGCCCACCAGGAGAGCGGCCAAAGCCAGCGCCATCGACATGTATCTTGCCCTCCATAGGAGACGACAGCAACAATACCCTCCTCCTCCTCCTCCTCCTCCTCTTCCTCCTCCCCCTCGTCCTCGTCCTCCTCCTCCCCCTCCTCCTGCTGCCGATCCTCCTCGTCGTCGTGCTGGCGCTGCAGAAATGACCAGACGTGGCGCACCTGAGACCGCTGCTGCGGCAGTCGTCCTGGCCATGAGAGCCTCGGCCTTGCCAGGTCCTCCGAGGCTAGTACCGAGGCTATCTGCGTATGCGCAAACCTTAACAGGTCGGGCCATCGAACCTCCATAGCGACAAGCGCGTCTCAGTCACATATAGCCTCCGTCTTCGCCCCCTCTTTCTTTCCAGGCGTGAGCTCGCCCTCTCCACGTAGTCCGACGCTATGCACATCTCCTGAGCTCGGGACAGATCCGACTGTCGGTCATCCATCGCCATAACCTCATTTGCTGTGACACTCTTCCTCTTCTTCCCCTCCCCAGCCAGCCTCGCTTGCTCTTTTCTCTCCCTTCGCCCTTTCAGGACCTCCCCACCCCCCCTTTTTTCGGGGGGAAAAGGGGGGGGGGGGGGGGGCGTGGGGTTCCTTCTTTTTCGTTTTTTTTTTCCCTGGAAGGGAGACTGGGACAAGCCACGCTCCGCTGCAGTGCAATACAGAGGCAACTCAGACGGGTCGAGTAGGCAAGCCTACCCGTATGACCCCACCGCACCCCCGAAAAATTAATTTAATATCATGTGGCCCGATGGACCACTGATCAGACGGGCTGTATACGCCTCAGGCTGCGGCGCGTATACAGGAAGCCCGTATGACGACTGAGCGAGGTATACGCTCACTCAGGAAGCGCGTATGACGCCTGAGGCTGCGGCGCGTATACAGGAAGCCCGTCTGATCATACGGGCTGTATACGCCATGTCGCCCGATGGACCACTGATCAGACGGGCTGTAGATGGGCTGTATACGCCTGAGGCTGCGGCGCGTATACAGGAAGCCCGTATGACCCTACCGCACCCCCGAAAAACCACCAGTACCTCGCTCAGTGTTCAGCCGCGGGCCTTCCTGTATACGCACCGCAGCCTCAGGCTGGTCGGCCAAGGGAAGGCCCGGTCGTAGCGCCAAGGCCGGGCCCTGCTTCTATAGGGA